GAGAGGATTCACAAAAGACAAAACAAAAGTTCTGGAGAGGTCCACCTTCCAGACCTTTCTTACTGTCATTAGCCCCTTGGAGAGGATTCACAAAAAAGACAAAACGAAAGTTCTGGAGAGGACATGGTTTCTGGTTCCCTTTTGGCAATAGAATTTGACATGGTTTCTTCCAAAAAAAAACAAAAAAAACAAAGATCTGGAGAGGACTGCCTTGGTTGCAGCCAAATCTGTGTTCAAGCCTCCAATGAGTGAACATGGAGGGGCTGTGCACCCGACCTGCAGGTAGGCAATATGGTCCAGGCAGCAGTAGATATAGTCATGGACCACGCCAACCAGACCTGCAGGTGGGCGAGATATCGTCCGGGCAGCAGTAGATATAGTCATGGGCCAAAAGGCCAAAAGGCCAAAAGGCCAACTGGAGAGGATTCACAAAACAATACCTTTCTGGGCCTTTTGGCTTAAGTAAGATCCAGTGTAGTATCTGTTATCTGATCGGTTTAATATCTGATCCATGGTCCATCGGGCCACTAAGGTATTAAATTATTTTTTCTGGGCTACGGAGGGGTCATATGGGTAGGCTTGCCTGCTCGACCCTTCCAGCGTTGCCTCTGTATTGCACTGCAGTAGAGTGCAACGCCGCCCTAAAAAAAAAAAAAAAAAAAAAAAGACAACATGAAAGTTCTGGAGAGGACTGCCTTCCAGACCTTTCTTACTGTCATTAGCCCCTGGAGAGGATTCACAAAAAAGACAAAAGGAAAGTTCTGGAGAGGACCGCCTTCCAGACCTTTCTTACTGTCATGATAGTATTCCGGGAACCCCGTTGCAGCCAAATCTGTGTTCAGGCCTCCAACGAGCCAACATGCAGGGGCTGCACCGGACCTGCAGGTGGGCGATACTGTCCAGGCAAGCAGTAGATGTATGTAGTCATGGACCATGCCAACCGGACGTGCAGGTGGGCGAGATACCGTTCAGGCAGCAGTAGATATCGTCATGGACCATGCCAACTGCACCAGTCCCTGCGAGG